TGTCTTTGTCTTAAAAAAGCGGTTGCTAACACGGGCCTAATTGAAATAATAAAACATCACACCGAACATTAGCCGACTTTAGCTAAGTGACTGTTACATGAAGTAATGCGACCACAATGTAGTTCCTTCATAGCTTGAAGTTATTTCCGACCTCGATTTGAAGCTGAACCCTCCGCTCTGGGAACAAACCACAGTACATGGGTAGTCAAATCTAACAATTGAGCTATATGACGGACCGTTGTAACCTTTTTACATCTGGCCATTGCATTTACACTTTAAAAATCATAAAACCATGAATGTGTGTTGCCTTATTTTATATATATTTTGAAATCCAGTCGAAATTATCCCATTGATTTTAGTCAAAGGAGCTCTTGCAATGCTAACTTCGAACTGGACCAGAAGCATACCTCGTATAGCTGCACCTCTAAAAGGGAACATCATCTGCTAGAGGGGGATATACCTAAGGGCCATTGAAATGAAGGGGAGAAGAGAGCAGAGTAGAGAGTAGACGGAGGAGGGAGAAATGGATGCATGTCAATAGGTGAGAGGTTGTTTGTGTCACACTGGGGGAATGTGGCTCTCTCTTCACACAGGATGACCCAGATCCTGCTGAATTAGACACAGTCCTGTTTCTGGAAGTTCAGTGTGCATTAGTGTTTGTGTCTTTGTCGATGCCAGCTTAGGTATGAGAGTAGAAGAATAGAGAAAGCAAAGAGGGACTTGGTGTAACAACAGATATGTCTTTGGTTTGAGTGTCATACAAGCCCAAAAAACAGCTAATAGAATCAATATAATAAAGGTGCTACATATAGCTTTTCTAACCCTAACCCTACATCATAAGCACATTGATTGTGATACTTTAATGGATCTTGGTATCTAAAACCAAAGTGTTTGGTATCTGTACTGGATTGTGGACACTGCTTTATACTGGGCATGGAACTATACGTTTGTGACATGCAACATCGAACCATTTATTTCCATTATGTATTAATGACGTTTTGTGTATTATAATACTGTTAAGGACTATTTGAACACAGAGAAAGAGGGAAATGCAACTTCTCTAAATCTAAATGCCTGTGCTACTGCTAACGTAACCACATATTGTCATTTACATATTTAAAAAGTTGCTGATTTCACTATCAAGTGTAGTTGGTCACACTTCACGTTAACATACTCAATTGTTAGGACACACCCTTGACACCTACAGTATAGCTTACTCATCATACTGTACATGCTTCTTTTAGTAAGTATTATTTTTGCTGATATTAAATACTTTACAAATGTATTTGGTTGAACATTTATGCCACTTTTCACAATCAGCCATCTCATCTGGCACACATTTAATTCAAGTTAACTTAAATAATTAATAATCCATTCCATCACACATTATAATGTACCACTGAGGGAGGCATTAGTGATTAGTCCATTGGTGGCCGATGTTAGAATCTGCCCACTGGCAACATTTACTGACGAATATTTTTCCATTGAATTTTGGAATGTTGCAGAAATTTTTTTTGGCAAACATGTTCACGATATTTCCGTGTTTTGTTCAGCAGGATAAAGTCCACATACTAACCCCAATTTCAGCATTTTTATAGCATTAATATAATAAATAGAACTAAATATCTAACGTTAGGCTATAAACGAGCTATATTAAGGTCACATGACTTCACGTCACCACCGCTAAGCTAAAGGCGACTAATGTTTTTTAGGTCCTAAACTAAAATGCCAAGACCTCTAAAATTAGTGTTGACCACAGACTCTATTTCAGACATCTAACCAAAAACTCATTCAAAATCCATTGAGTTCAAGACTTGGGAACAGGGAGTGCTACAATGCTAACACATTTCCGGGTTTTATTATGTCTCAAAAAAAGGGGAAGTCATTCCTAGATAACTCCAGTGGTCATATTACTTGACATCTCTCGATCCTCTCTCCTGTTTTTTTCTGACTCATTTCCACCTGCCATTCCCACTTCATTGATCTCAACATGGACATTTCTTCTCTTCTTCTTTCTGACCGATCTCTCCATCTTCATCGTACTTTACTCCTCCGTCCTGTCTTCTCAATCAGCATCTCAGCTCCTCCCCATCACTGCCAAAGTCCTAGCTTGCTCCCACTTTTCCTCTTCACATCACCACCCCCCATCCACGTTTTTCTCCACTCTTGTCTCTTTTCCTTTTTGTCTAATTTGGCTCTGAGTCCCGAGGCTTCGTCAGCGCAAAGTGCTCCTTCTGTGCTCAGCCGCTCTATCCCCCCCTCCCACTCTGTGCTCTAGCGTGCAAGGAAAAGGGGACCCACCGAGCTTTATATTATGTAATGAGATCATCTGGAGACTAATGCTGTATACCAGATATACCAAACAGCCATTAGTGGCTTCTCTATAGTATGACCATGTGTCTGGCTGGTACAGTACATACATATTTTAGATTTCTCACAGATGGATGATGGAGGGACTTTGGCTTGAGTAGCAAGGGTCACTGATATTAAAACCTCCAGATGATAGCAACATGTGTTTGCTCATATGGGTAATCCTCCTTCCTTTAGTGCTTTTGTCCTGGGTTTAGCTTTTACCTTGTGTTTTTCCAGGAGGTGAGAGGTAGATGAATGCATGAGCTTAGAGGGATGGTGGTGAAATAAGGACAGATGGAGGACAGGGTGGAGAGTTGGGTACACATCCACGTGTTTGTGCACAGAGCCGTGGGGGGAAAGCGAAGCTATGAGGATCACACACACACACACACCTTAGAAAGAGTGGTTGTTTGTGTGTCCAAGACCTTGAAAACCTTAGTGCGGCCGTAGGGCAACTCAACATGAGAAGAGGTCCTGGTCAATCAGCAACTCAGCACACGTTTATCAGGCAAGGTCATCGTTGACGTTAAAGTGTTCTGACATTCAGTTTGGCGCTGAAATGATTTGTCAATTTTCTGGCTGAGGCAGTATCGGCTTTTACTTTGAGGAATGTTATCAATCATAATTTAATCAAAAAGGGCAAACCTTGACTGAAACTAGATTATATTTGGGGTTGCAATCTAAAAACATCAAGTTTGAAATAAAATGTTCAAAAATCATTTTGCAAACCCGGAACATTTTATATCAAGGTTCTCTTACTCGCATTTTTTAACATCCCTAGTTCTCATGAGGGTTTCATAATAAATCTAAATATGATCAAAATCGCAATACAAAGTAGTCAAAGATAATCGCAATAAGTTATTTTTAACAAATTGTGCAGCACTGGTTTCATGCTGAGATGACTTAAAGTTAACTTTAATTGAATCTGCTTAAAAAAAAGTCCAATAAGTGAAGTCAACTAAATATAATGAAATAATGGAAGAATGATAATTGTTTTTCATTGCAATCTTTCAAATGTTTGCACCCTGCTGACTCCTTTTATACCATGAACTTTTCTAAATCATAGACGTCAATCAAGAGGATGATTCATGCCCTAGCTGAGAACATGTAATACGGTGCCCAAAAATCCTTATGGTCAGCAGCACATTATCAAGAAAGGTCAGTCAGTGAGCAATCAACAGTAACATTAGCACTAACAGTAGAACATCCTAACATATATGCTATCCCTCTGGTACTACAAGAGGTTATCAACAATGTGTTTTGAAAGGTGGACAAGAAGCCCCTGGTCCTTAATATGATTCTATACAGCTATAATAATTGTTTCATTCACATCCTGATGACATCACTGGTTATTTTTAGTAACACCCAGCAGCTGACAAAGACACTAAATTATTGGTGCATACTATTTTACACTACTTAAATGTTATAACTGACTAGGGCTGCATGATTTGGAAAAAATAACCAATTGTGATTATTTTGACTGATAGTACAAATGTGATGTGAATATTAGATTAGAAGGAATTACCATTTTTGAAATATAACTGCCATTATCATTGAAAAAATATAATAATGATAATGGTGTGGGTCTGTAACAAAATAATGATTTTTTTTATTAAGTTTAGAATACTGTTTAGGCCACACATTCTTTGCAGAAACAAAACATTTTATATAGAATAGTATCAATAATGTTTGCCTTCAACTCATATTGCACTTTCTGGGAATTGGATGTTGCCCTAGTCCGTATTTTTTTCGATTACATTTTGATTAATTGTGCAGCCCTATAACTGACACCTCCATTATGATAAGATGAATACTGATAACCCAGTGGATATGAAGATCCCAGCTAGAGGTGATAAGCTGTTAGAATGATAATTCCAGTTAAGAATATTGCCCTCAAGCTTGACATTGAGTCAATGTCACCAGTGTTCTCAGAATAAGCTGCCGGCGTACCTACAACAAATTCATATCCAGCCCATCAGCTGCCTCTGCTTACTGTAGCTGTGGATTTCTGTTAAGTAATTCACAGAGCAGCAGAGTCAACACTACCATTTCCAGGGGATTATTAGTTACAGATGTTGAGCTGCAAGAAGAAGGCATGTTGTTGTTTCGTTCTTTACAGTGGTTGTAAATGTTTGCACTGATACCCATAAAGCTGTAGTGTACCCTAACAAAAAATCTGATACAGGCCTATCGATACTAATCCTATTGGGGTCTTTATTTTCTAAATGCATGTGACAGCCATTGCAATTATAAGTTTATAGGTTGTACTATATTTGGTACCCAATTGCATTTGTTTATTTGTGTGCCCGTGTTCATAAATCCACATGTTACAGCCTACAACCATTCCTTGATTTAAAAAAAGTCAGATATATTTTTACATTAGTTATATTGAAACCTTGTCTGTAGGCCTATATTTTATATTTTGGCATAGGCTATTAATGTGTTGTTGTAGGAATGATCAATGTCACAAAAAGCCCAAAAGATTATCAGAAAATGCTTAAATATAACCATGACAGTATGTTTCGTTTGCCTCCAAACTGCCTGTTGTTCCTGCTTGCCAAAACTTCGAATAAACGCTGTCCTCTTAACAAAATAAACATTAATTTTAATTGACAATAGGAGATAAGGAAGTCTAAACTGCCCCTTACCTGCTTTCTGAGCCACAGACTTGAGCCCTACGACAAGCCCGAGCATTACCCCGGCAAAGCACATCTGGATGGCGAACAACTCCTTTCGCTTTCTCCGCCTGGCTTTGCTTTTCCGTCGGTTCAGCATCCCTCCTCCTCCGGCGGCCGTCTCCGGCATCCCTTCAACCACCACGCGGGCCATGTCGCTCTTCTTTCGGCGAGCGTTCCGGCGGAACCCCCGGTGGTGGTGCAAAGGTACGAGAAACTGAAGCGAGAGGAAGAGACACAGTGAGGTGCTGTATGGGCACTGAAGTTCCTCGACGAGGGAAGATATGACTGGCTTGTCGATGGATTTGTAAAGTTTAACAGTGTGCATAAGCTAAAACGTCCGGTGTCATATTTCAAAATAAAACTCCAGCTAGCAAAACGTGACTAGCTACAGCAAAAATGGTTGCGAGATAGAAAGTTATTTATGTCGAAGGTATTTGTTTGACCAAGGTACTTTACCGTCTATACATAGTTTCATTAAATGGCTGTATAGACTGTAATTTCCGATTTGTCTAACTGTGAGGCGTTTGACGCAGCTTGAAGTGGTTGAGCATAACTGCCTCGCCACAGTGCTTCCACCGTGTTTGGTGGCAGAGGGGCGGGCTCCCTGGCCAAAGCAATTCGCTAGGAGTGTGGTTCTCTGAGGTGATGTTCTTGAAGAAGCGCTGGAGTTCCGTGTCATGTTCATCTGAAGCGGCATGTGCTGCTGCTGAGCTGGAGATGTGACAGAGAGACAAGGGCAACCATGGCAACCATGCAAGGGAAGTCTTCTTCGCTGCTTTTGTGGCAGACTACAGCGCCACTTACAGGCCTGGCATATACTACAGCGTCTCCAGCGCTTTCGAGTGGCAATGGCCGGCCGTGGCCCAACCTCTCATTCCCCTGATAGGTGGAGAATTGACCAATAAGCGGAGCACCCTTTTTGTTACGTAGGAAATAATTCAAATCTGGATCAGTCTGTATCAGATCCGTTACAGCCCCTTTTTTTTTTAGACATTTTAGACATTTCCTAAATGCCTATAGGGAATTGTGTACATAATATGATGTTTTATAATATAGTGTAGAGCCGATGAAAGGGAGTCAGAGGCGGAGTCAGAGTCTGATATTGTAATCCTTCTTCAAAATTTGAAATATTTACACAAAACATAAAAAGTTCTGAAAGTATTCTAGTAAACTGTTATGCATCACAATAATACACAACTGCTGGATCTAAAAAGAGGCCTCTGACCTCTCTATAATGACACATTAGATCAGTGGTTCTCAAATTCTCAAACGCGAACCCCTAGGGGTACGTTGGATTACTGCAGGGGGTACGTGAAATTTATTTTATGTTAATGAAAAAAAAAAAAAGAAAAAGATAAATATACAGTACCAATTTTAGGAAAAGTAACGAAGTTTGAGCAGTGTGTGTTTTATATTAATAGACTAGAGTTACACATATTTCAAAACACGAAGTGTAATAACTGCAGTTGCCTCCCTGTCAGAATGACAAAGATGTATTATCTTTTCAATTACACACGGCATCTATTGCACGTCTGTCCGTCCTGGGAGAGGGATCCCTCCTCTGTTGCTCTCCCTGAGGTTTCTCCCATTTTTCCCTTTAAACTGTGGAGTTTTCTCCGGAAGTTTTTCCTTGTACGATGTGAGGGTCTAAGGACAGAGGGTGTCGTATTGTCATACTGATATTCTGTACACACTGTGAAGTCCACTGAGACAAATGTAACATTTGTGATATTGGGCTATATAAATAAACATTGATTGGTTGATTGATCCTCAGTGAAGCACAAGCCCATGTTTCTCACTAAATTGTAAGTACAACTTATTAAAAAGATCAGTTCAATGCAACTAATGTCATCTTAGTGTTATTGCATGATATTAAAATTGGTTGGCCATGAATTTAGTGATGGATTGTAAACATTTGAAATGTAGCATTTAAGTGATTCTCAGTTACAATGTTGTTGTTTTAATAAATCAGACACTGATGATCAGGGCCGCCCCTCCCTACAGGCCAATCACGCAGGCTGCATGGGGCCCCGCCTTGCGCAGGGGCCCCCGCCCAGAGGGCCTCAGCTGCTATGCGCAGTTCTCCTCGCAGTTCTCCGCGCACCCCCCGCGAGAGTGAGAGTGAGAGGTGACAAGGGGAGCACGTCTGTAACCCCGACACCGTTGCAATTAATCGACATCTGACCAATCACGGCTTTGATAAGGCCACTAGTGCAGGTGAAGAGATGTCGGTGAAAAGACAGTTTTAGTCCGGCGCAAGCAAGAGGGAAAAAAAAAAAACATGAAGAAACTAGAGCATCACTCGAAGGTGGGTTATTGTATGAGTCAAACATTTACAACTTGCGAATGTTGTATAAGTCAAATTGCCAATTGCCATATTAAAACATCAGCTGCAATTCACGACATGAAGAAGGCAGTCTCTGCAGAGCATATAGGCTAATGGAGATGCAGTTATTTCCAGCATTCTTTATTTACCATTCATTCAAGTATGTGATGCCTTTTATCTGCTAATGTACAGGAGGAAGAGTGATAAACTGTCTAGTTGGCTTATGTAACAGTTAAAGTTTACAGCCTAAAAAACATGGAGCATTTTTTCCCCTTTTATTCATTTTTATGTCAATTTGCACATTTCCTGGTGATGCTCAGCCTCTCCCCTTAACTCCTAACAGTCATCATCATGTCAACCACAGCACAGAGAAATACTGATAGAAAAGTGTGTGTAGTTGTTGATACATTGCTGACAGAGGGAACTAGAATACAGATTTAAGAAATATCAGTTTTTGTGCATGTAATAAGCATGTTTTGTCTTATACTATATTACAACTATATTATAATAAAAGAATATAGTATTTATATTATTGAATTGATTATTATTATTAGTAGAAGTAGTTTATTTGCATTCATTATATTTTAATCTTTTTGAGGCTAGTATTTGGCAAGAAATGCAGGCGTAAATTCACCTGTAAACGCATACTGAACGACATACATGCACAGAAAAAAGTAACTGTGTTGATAATAATAATAATAAACAGGAATTACATTGGCAAAGTAGCTTACTTTGTTTCCAAAATATATTTTTTTCACTCCTATCGGTTGGGGGGGGGCCTCATCTCACAATGTCGCTTGGGGCCCCTGTTGATGGTGCAAGGCTGTACTGTACCTCTTTATAGGCTTTTTTTCCCTAACAAATATTGTTTGCGCTGATCAGGGGGTACTTGGCTGAATTTTTTTTTTTCAAAGGGGGTACATTATTGAAAAAGGTTTGAGAATCACTGCATTAGATGGATGTTTTTATTCAAGAAGCACAGCAGAGAAAGGAACATAAGTAAAAGGGAAGGAGAAAGTTATTATTATTAGTGCATTAACATTTTATCTCGGAAGTTGGAACTGGGAATGACATCACATTTGAGATGACTGCGTTCCAGGAGCACAAGTTGGAAAAAGATTTCCGCCCGCAAGAAAGCTGTTCGCCTTGTTTACAGCTTAAGCAATCACCTCGGGCTAGCCATTGTTAGCACTGGGCTGGCGGTTGATAACTATGCTTTATTTTTTATTTTGTGAATACAAACTGCGTAGCAACATATCAACTGATAAGCAGTACCATATGTACAGATTTAATGTGGCACAGAAGAGCTACAAATGTTGTATTATCAAAGTGTTCATAATATGCAGAGACTCCATTTTGAATGATGATCTCCCACCTCACAGTCGAAATATCCGACTGGGAACTCAGATATTCCCTCTTCCCAGAACAACTGGAACGCCCTAAACAGCAATCGAGATTGAAATGTATCTGTCATATTTTCATAACTGTGGACCACGTTATCTGACTGCAGTGAAGATTCATGCATAAAGTATTTGCGAAAATCCCTCAGGTTCTTAGGTCACTTACCCTCGCACTGAGTTGAGTAATGATGTCATCGCAGGGAGAAAGGAAACAGGAGAGCTATATTGTCACGTCAGAGAAAGAAGGCAGTGTGGCAGAGCTCCCAGATTACACCCACACCAAAAAACACACACACATACACACACACACACACACACACTTCCTTCATGACGGATTGGGCATAATCCTCATCCTGAGCAAAAGCGTCTGCCATGATTCCACACAATGACAATGACATCGAGTGTGCTGGATTAGGAGGCAGCAAGGGATTTTTAACCTCATCATTCTGCAAAAATCTGCAACACAACTACATGTTGTATTTTACATCATCTACTCTTACTAAAAAAATGTTATTTGTTTTAATTCCCTGCAGAATGAGACCACATATCTCATAGTTTATGTAATAACTCCATATCATTATATACTGTTGACACTGATATACAACAAATGAAAACCTTATAGCGATGGTGACCGGATCTGATGATCAATATTCTTAAAGGAATGTACCACTGTATCCCATAATCTATTCAAGAGTATGGATTCATAATCAAAATGATGAACCAGATCCCTAGAACATAATGGTACACGACAAAAGAAAATAAGGATTTTAATGCGCATGCAAATATTTAGTTTTAAGTGTCTGTGTTCCAGGGTATGCCTGTTGTAGAGTCCCTTCATAGGGTATTCAGAAATAAAGAAAAATCAGTTAGAATAGATGACTGTTGTGCGTAGACGGCTCTGCTAAGATTGTTCCCTAGGTGTCATGTTATTATGTGTTTAGATAGGTTCCTGTTTTATTTTGATAGTCTTGTCTACCCTCATGTGTCTAAAGTACGTTTCCTGCCTTGTCTGTTTTCCCGCTGTTGTGATTGTCTAATTGTCTTCACCTGGTGTTGTCTGTCTAGTATATATAGTTTTCGTCTTCCCCTGTCTCGTTTCCAGATTGTCTTGTGTGTTCCAAGCATTCCAGCGTTAAGATCATTTGTCCATAGAGTTATCGTCCATAGAGTTAGATAGAGTTAGATAGTTTGCGAGTAAGTCGTTTTTGTAGTTTTGTGATAGTATAGGTTAGACAGTTTATTGAGTGTTTGTTTTGTTGCTTTATGTATTCAGTGTGTTATGACCTGTTTACATTAAAACACTTTATTTTGATACTTTGTTTGTCTCTGCATCGTGCATTTGATTCCACGCCTTTGTACAGCCTGCACAGTACAATCTGGCCAAAAACATGGAATTAGCAGATGCAGAACCAGTTAAAGCAGCGATACGACTTCAGGGCAAACGTCTACACCGTCACCATCATGAGGAGAAGTTCTCTCTCTGTCATACACCAGGCAGTGATGGACCTGGCGGAGCAGCAGCATGGACTCCAAGCATCTGTCAACACCCAAATCAGCGACATCGCGGAGGCGGCGCATCGTGTGCTGGCACGCCTGGACGCTGGTGCCACTGCTCCGGCATTACCTGATGCTGCGGCTCATCCTCAACAGCTGGCAGCCCCTCCAACTACAGCGGCGCCGCTTCCTGGATCTCATGCTGTCCCGTTGCCTCGCTTGGCCCCTCCAGATAAGTTTTCTGGAGATTCCAATGACTGTAAATCCTTTCTGACTCAGTGCGATCCACACTTTAAGTTAATGCCCTACATATATAGCTCTGATTATGCTCAGATCGCATTTATCATTTCTCATCTGTCCGGCCGTGCGGCTGCATGGGCTACGGCGGAGTGGGAGAAAAATTCTGCAACTTGCAACTCTGT